CCCCGTCCCGACATCGTATCAGCGGGCCTAAAGCGATCGCAACAAGACACTCTGTCGTGGCCCAGCTCCTCTCGGGCGCGTGGTGATGGTGGGAGCAGGTCGCGGGGGCGGAGAGGCGGGGGAAGGGGGGTGCTGCTTGTTGAGGCGCCCGAGGCCTTTGTGACGCCTCGCCGAGGACATCGCACTCGAGCAGGCGGCCAACCGGTGGCTGCCCGCCCACGAGGACAGGGGCCAGAGTGCGACACGACTCAAGTACATTACGAGCGAGTCACCTATGTTCTCCATGTTTACTTTCTTTCTCTGCACACATATCATAAGAAGACACGTTTTAAAGAACACTCTGCAATTGAGACAAAATCCTTCCTTTTTGCTGTTAGTTCTCTATGATTTCACGTTAAATAAATATTAGCAAAGGTATATTAGTCGCATTTTTAGCAGATGATACATTTGTAACTGAAACTTTTAACATTTCACATAACTGAAATTAATAAGAATGATTTGTCAAATGTGTCATTGCTTGTACTCTCATGCGTAGTGCAGAGAGGCACAAGGCGTGACGTCACCAGAAGAATACAGGGCGGCTTGGTGTTGGCCCCGCCGTCCGCGCCACAGCTAAACAGCCCCCCTCCCCTCCCCCCTCCAGCAGACTTGGCTCGGCGCTCGTGGCGCTCGGCTGGAAGCAGATCGGAGCTCGGCTCGGGACGGCTCGGCTCGGGCGCGCGGCGCGGAAATTCAAACTCTGACCCAACTATGAAGTGACAGAACTGAATGAGTTCAGAAATATTACTTGCAAACTATGTCTTTATTGAGAAGCATCACTCGCAAACTGTCTCTACATCCCTCTTCACACTAACTTTGTCCTAGACCCTTCAAAACATTACAAAGAATACGAGAAACAGAACCAAACAAAATCTTTTTTAGGTATAAATATATATATTTAAATGTAAACTAAGATTTGTAAATTATCTATATACTTATACTTGTGCAAGTAATGCGACCCGTTAGCTCCCCCTGAAATATTATAGACTTGAATATTCCTTGAATTTGTATCATCTGCTTTCACGATCCGTTCCTGGACGGAACTTTTTCTACATCAAATCATGTCAGAAAAGCAAGTTCACGAGCTGGGGAGCCACGAGGTCCTCGACCCGACACACGTCTATAAAACGAGATAATTCATAGACTATAGATAGACCCGTCGGATGACGCGTTTTAATTTTCTGACGTGTACGCCTCTCTTTTTTTGGCACTCCCCCGACGACACGGCGGCCGTAACAAGGCCCGCCGCACGTCACGGCCGGCTCACACACGCGGCCAATAACAAATCGATTAAACGCCGGTCGACGACAGCTAGCGGCACCAATAAGAATGGAAAAGCAATCACGGTATCTCGTGCGATTAGCGGGCGCGCTGATAGGCCGGTATTACCTTCTGAGCTCGCCATGCCAGCTGCGGCTGCGTGCAAGTGGGCGTGCAAGTGGGCGTGCAAGTGGGCGTGCACCTCGCGTGCACCCTGGCGTGCACCTCGCGTGCACCTGGCGAGCACCGCGACGACGGCCGCACCGCCAACTTGTTGAGCAGCCTGAGGGGTGGTCCCGCACCGGCCGGGTGCTCCCGCCAGCAGTGCGGGGCCTCTCGCCTGGCAGGGCGGGCCGAGGGTTAGGCAGCCAACAGGTGCCCCCGCCCCCGCCCCCCGGCGCGAGCCGGCTGCCCGGGAGGACCGGCGCGCGGCAGGCCCAACGCCGGTCGCACCGGGACGAGCCACCGCTCCGATGGTCCCGGCCCAAGAGCCAGTCCGCGTACAGCCGCCGTCCCGAGCACACTGCAGGCCGAGCGCCCCGCCGCGCGAACGGCCCGAGAGCCACGCGCCGAAATCACTCTCGAAGCCTCATTCCATCTCACCCTCCCCCTCCCCTTCCCCTGCAAACTCTCCTGTTCGACCCCACTTCAAGTCTGTTTATCCCTTTTCCTGTCTTCCCGTCGTTCGCTCGCCGCAATGCACCGCAGAACCTATCGTCGTTTCCGCCAGTGATCTTCTCCGCCGGTGATCTTTAAAACAGTGAATTAGAGACAAAATAAACGCAACGCCGATTCAACAAAAAAAAAGAGAGAACTGAAACGAAAAGTGTAATAATTTGTTCTTCAAGTTTTAACAGTATAGTATAAGAACAAGTGAAAAGTGTGCTTCAACGAGTGATTCCATTTCAGCAGTGGACAAATATTATCCGCCGGTGATCTTCTTAACACTCTGTGATGCAAGGTACAGTCCGGGAACCCCGCTGAGGAGCACGCACCAGTCGTGGCAGGGAATACCAAAAAAACACGCCGTAGACGCTCACCTTCCGATCAAAGATTGATGTACTTGACCCTTGACTCTAGACACATCAGTGTAAACTTCCGGGCTGCGACGACGGAAGATAATTGCAAGCTTTTCAGGCGAGAAACTTTGGTGCCGCACACGCAAATTAAAAACTGACGAAAACCAACGCCCCATTGATAAAGGGAAAAATACTTTACTAACAAAATCCTTAACGTTTTCTTATCTAAAGGCGGTTTTTGATTTGTGGACAATAGCGGTTAATTTCCAGATGGACCCACAAATTTCAATTGTAACAAATAACCCTTCACGATTTTGACGTCAAACTACACAAAAGAAAACTTTGTGCAGCAGAAGGAGTACTTAAGAAAAACAACGAAATTAAGCATTTACGTGCATCGTTAAGCAAACAGTACATGGGTGTTGACGTACGCAGGGCCCCCGTTATGCGTGCACTGACCCACTGACACTGCATACTACAGGCGCCCGTTGCCTTCGCAATGTATCGCCCTCCCTATTCGAAATGCGTGCGCCCGAGACGGCGCGACTCAGAGCGAGGTACTTGTCGATAACATGGGAGATAGGGCAGAACAGCAACAGCCGCTGCTACTGCACAAAACGATCGCCTCAAACAGACGTCGCCCCGACCGGAGGAGTGGTCCCAGCAGCTATCACAATTCACACTCGTATGCGCGCGTCGAGGGTCCTAGCTGTGCCGTGAGTTGACTCAAAGCGATGAATCAAAACTCCTGTCGATTGCCGCCCCGTCGAAGACGCCGTGTTGTGTTTGTCATAAAAAGGCGAGTTCTGGGAATGTTTGGATCAAAGGTCGCAACCCTGAACAAACACAACACACACACACACACACACACACACACACACACACAAACCCACACGCCATCCTTGGATTTCTCCTTTCCGGGCGAAGCAGCAGGGTGAGCAGCAACAGCAGAATCCGGGCAAAAGTTCTATAGCGGAGCGCGCTGAGGGGGCAGCCGAGCCGAGACAAGGTGAGGTGAGGCTCCTATGGAGCAGAAAATTAAGGAAATTTTACAGACGTCGTCGTCGACATCAAGGCCAAAACTTTTTCTCTGCGCGCCTCCTTTCCTTGCTGGCCACGGTGACCCCGTCCCAGCTCTTCATTACAGTGCCACCATTGTAAAAGGGGAGAGGGGGGCGGGCGGGCGGAGGGAGGGAGAGAGAGAGAGAGAGAGGGAGAGAGAGAGAGAGAG